TTAATGAAGTGCTTCATTTACCACTGCCTGAGCATGATAGAGCTTCGATAGAAACGAGAGCTTCGATAGAAAGAAAAAAAAATAACTAGAACTTCATGCTGATATGGCTAGATTTGTTTGTTTAAAAAAAAATTTTCACTCAGTAGACATCTCGGTAATTAAAAAAAAATCTTTGATGAATTTGTATTAATCCGCATCTGTCTCTGAGAGGGATGCAGTGCAGTTTGACAGTGTAATATGCTGACCTGTCTGAGCTTTGACAAGTCATCTGCAGTCTCCATATGCTGTTGATCGTGAAAAGTTTCCACTAAACCACCAGATGTTACTGAAATTAGCATATCAAATATGTGAAAGCACTGATTATACGAAGCATCTTGTTCAAAACAGGTAACTGTGCGCAATAGAAAGCGAGCGCGATCTTGTCTTTTTGTGATAGCAAACACGCAAGGAGTGAGACATTGTGCCAAAAAATTGAGGATTCATTTGATCTAGGTCGCTTATTTTTTCCCGAAAAGTATCCAGTCCCCGTACTTGGAAAAGAAATACCGGGTGTAGCATTAGGAAGTGTTGTGCGAAGTATTGTCAGATCTGGTAGAGTCCATTTTCCCTGATCCTCGTTCCATGTTGCTTCGCGCTTGATTTTTTCAATATTGAAATAGTTACAATCTTTTTTCAGCACTGGATGTATCTAAAAGTACTAGCATCATGCCAAATTCATCCGCCATAAATAATCTTCCGCGAAATGTGCCAAGATCGAAAAAATGGTTAGAAAAAAAAATTTTGTGAAAGTAAAGACTGCCAGGTAAAATGAAAAATTTTTTAACTCCTTGCCCGTATTCATCTTTGCAGTTACTCTGAAAAAATAAATTTGGAGAACTCGTTAAATGCTCTACGAAAATATTCATGACTGCCTATTCAACCCTTGCAATAGGCAGTTCTCCCCATGCACAAGTTTCCCTTTGACTATATTCCAATACAGACCCTAACCCTGCAGCGAGCAGTTTCTCAGTTGGCGTGGCTCTGCTACGGGGACCACCATGTAATTCTGGTTTCTTTGCAGACAATTAGATTATGGTTTAGTCTAATCGTAACTAGTGTAAACATGGTAACTGATCTAACAAATTGTGAGCAATAAAAATAATAGTAAAAATACAATACGAAATACAAAGAGAAACCCCGAATTGGAATGTTTCGGTCCACTAATTCGTATACATTCCAAATCAATACAACGACTGAACCTCTCGATACGACGATTGTGGTAATTAACAAAGATGTTATGTGTAAAGATAATATAATAAGTTGGGAGACTATTTAAAGGATAAGGAAAATGCTATAAAGGAAAAGGAAACGCAGAAAAAAGCGCAAAATAGTTTTGCTGATTCAGTTATCGCTGCGAGTACCTACACTTAAACCTCGTCAATGCTGAAGGGGCAAACTTTCGTTAGTTTAGACTTTGAGATGTACATGACTATCACCGATTTGGAGATGGCTGGGTAGCACTTCTTTTTTCAGCAATCATAACTTACGAATGTGCTGTTTTCCGCGTGATGTGACACTTATTAAAAAAATTGCTATTACTGATACGAAAAATTATAACCTTGTCCACAATCTGCTGCAGCAGCTTGATCTGTTGGTCCTGTTTTCTAATTGTTTCCAGATAATCGAGTCGGTCAAGCTCAAATTCACCATGCAAATCCTCTATGTCATTTTCAAGCGCTTTAACCTGGAAGACCGAAGCATGAAAATTGTGATATTTACTAATGACGCCGAACCCAATCAAACAATTAACAGAACCTCAAACTAATTTACAGCACAAATTAAAAAAGTGTGGAAATTGGTTGCTGGGACTATCTAAACTACCAGAAGTTTCTTTTTGGTAAAATAAAAAAAAAGAAATTATTTTGTTAGTGATGTATTACAAAGTTAAAAATTTACCTTCAGTTTAGATTTATTATACTGCTCTGTAATCGCCTCCAGTTT